TGGAAAGCCTGATGGTTCAGCCTATTCCTCATAACTGGAGGGTTGAAATCCGTGAGATTTGCACACCTTTTGCATTCTGCAGTATATTTTTTATTAAGAATTAAATAGATCGAAAGGTCGCTTCTTTCTGCAGGTAGATATGATTTCAACTGTGTTTTTCTTTGCAAACTACCAAAGTGTTTGTCATTTGACAATTCGTCGCTGTATATTATAGATGCTCTAGAAATTTATCGCCTCTCAGATTACTTAACGAAAGCATCAGCATGGTTCACATGATAGGCGAGTGGGTGTCCTGAAGAGCTGAGAACGCTGTCGAATGGATATTCATGAATCAGGAGAACCACAAAGACCATGTTCAACCGGTGTTCAATAAGTTAATGAGAATGAAAGACAACACACTCTGTAGCCGCTTCGGAAACCACTTACAAACCCGGTCATGCCTATGGACGACGGTTGCAACACAAAGGGAACGGAAAATGTGCTAAAGCTTGAGTGACGTGTAAGAATAAATAATCGAACCATCTAACGCTCTTAGCTTTTTTTTAGCTTTTTTACGTAATGTACGGACAGGTTAGAGCCTAGCCATATCTTGAACTCGTTTGCATTATGGTTGTCAAACGCCAGATAGGATTTTTCGCTCACTTACGACACTATGGTCCATATATGGATCAGATGTAGTCGAAAGTAATGTTGTAATTTAACTTTTGAACGCTCCATTCTAAAATTACGTCTTTTTCTTTCCCTCTTTGATAACATTCTCACATCGTTAAGTAGAACCATAGGAGTTTGAGCGTATTTTATTAAATTCAAGTTTAATAATTTAAGGCAAAGTTGCTTTAGAAAACAAGTCTACACATATTCATATAACTTTATTGATTTTTTAAATTAATTTAATTCGTTGATTAATTATGTGATTAACTCTTAGCTAAATTTGGGGGCTGAGGTATCGAACGGCTTCACTGCTTCGGTGATCATCGTGCTGAGCGAAGGAGGATTACAAGTGGGAAAGGGAAAACTCCCATACCGACCCGAAAACACTTCCTTACCGTAATCACGATGAAGCAGTAAATCAATAGGGAATACCAATGGTTAAAAGCACCTAACAGCACTTTTTCACATCTCGATCATTCACTTAACTATACCGATAACTGCAGGCGAGAACAGTTCATTCGTATAGAGCTATCCGTCAGGTCTACTTAAGTCATCATCGTTTACTTCATTCCATACGTTTCCAGTTTCAATATGTTTATATCGCTCTATTTAGTAAGACAAGGACTGAAGGTAAAACATCCTTATCATAGGACTGAAACAGAGCTAAAATTAAATGAAATAACGATTCCATTGAAGACATTACGATTTGGTATCGATAACTGTGTGCTAAAAACAATTTTAAGCATTAATATACAAAGTTCTCCGAGTTGAAGTAAGAAAAATGATTTTTTTGATATCATAGGAACTTCATTATGAAGCTTTCCTAAGACTAAAGTATACGTTAAAGTACTAAAGTTCTTGTATTACAAAATGTCTCGCTTGTAGCACCCGCCAATATGCGCGGGACTAGTCTTTGGTTCGATCCCACAATCCACCCAGCAAGCCTTCCTTCACTCCGAGGTCGGTAAACTGGTACTAAGACTAATATATACGTTAAAGTAAGCGGCGAAGAATTTAATGTCCACCCATCAGCGTACCACCTTCAACTTCTAGAGCTTATCGTTGTGTTAAGAATTTACTGTTTAATATCCCGTTTTATTCCGATTTCTTTTGCAGTACTTCATTTAGTACGTCATAATTTTTTTCCTCATTCGATTTTGTCTGAAAAGTTTAAAGATTACAGTGTTGAGGACCCAGCTTGAAATGTGTTGGCTATGTGTCGGTAGTGTACTGTCACTGATCGTCCTATGTGATTCAGAAGTAAGTTACTTCTTGATTTTTGTATATTTGTTGGCTTAGGCTAGGGAATAACGAGTTTATTCCACTCCGTGGATCTTTCCATTTACAATTTTGCAGCTTAATTCGATTATTTCATGTATTACACACCTTATCACCTCGTTTAATCAATGCTGACAGCGGAACAGCGGAACTTGATCGAACACAACGAAACACTGCTAGTGAACCGCAATTCAAAGTTCGTTCAGTTGTGATCTTACTCTGGCATATCTTTCAGCTGTTTGATAGATATTATGAGTACTTCTTCACCGATATCTACATTTTTGTTCCTCCAGGTTTTTATTTAATTATCATGGGTCACAAAGACTGTAAACCACAGCTTTAAAACTTAAGGCGATGTTAAGATCCCATCACTCCGTGATTACGAAATTATTGTTACACTTCTCTGAGAGCCTAACTCGCACCGAAATCCGAGGGATGTCCGAGAGCAAGGGGAACGAGTCAATTGTAGAATGGGCTGGGATCCCCACAATATGCCAGGTCGTGTAGAAAATCAGCAACAAACTTACGAATTAATAGCACAGATGGTACTTTTCTGGATACTGAACAACACAAGATTGTTGCAAAAAAAGACAAACACTTTCGATTTCTTTTTCATTCTTTTTAAAAATAAAGAACTAGATTGTTTTTGAAAACAGCAGTAACAAGAATAAAATATATATTTCGTAATATTTATAGTATTAATATAAAACCAGGCGAACTGATTCACACCTACATCAAGATTTTCGTCAAGCACATAAACACCAAAACCGGAATGAGCTCTAGAAGAAAACGTAGCGCAATAAATTTTGACGCAGATAGTGGAACAAGAATACAGACCATATTGCTGGGATTTGGAATACAGCTTCTCCCTTCGAAGATATTTATAGTCATAATGAAAGGATATAACCGTTACACACGGCAAACCCCTGATTTCAAACCCCACATAGAGAAAGATAACATCATCAGAAATAAGGCTTCGATAAACGATCCTGACTACCAGCTTCTTCGTGCGATGATCCGATTGGTCACAAGTTGGTCCTAAATGCTATCATCCAAAGTTCTAATGCCGCGTTATTATCTCTGCTAAACAGGATCAAAAATCTTACCATTCAGGCGAGTGTAGCGCAGTGGTTAGTGGTGTCCTGCAGTACACACCAGATTAATCTTTAGTTCAATCCCGCAACTCAGTGTCACTAAGTGTTCTATCGCTCTGCAGATGACAAACTAATAGCAGACTTGTATGGGAGAAAGGCAGCACTGACTCAAAAGGATCGATCACTGCTGATCGGTATTAAGCCTTTTTAATATCCGAAAAGACAACTTCGGATGTCCGACAATATTGAAATATAATGGACGGACAAACGTTCGATGAATAGGAGTATGAAACAGAAGATAATGACAGTGGTTGAATTGAAGATGCTCTAAATATCTCAGGTTACTTATTGTGCTATGATGAGATCCTCATAATCGACGGAGAACACTTTGGCTACTTTTGAATCTCGTTAACAGCTGACACGAAAGATTCCACAAGTGACGTACATTTGATACAAAATACAGAATATGCGGAATACGGTAGCCGCTTCGCATTAAATGGAAATGCACCAAAAAGCCTAACAGATATCTAGGGAGTTTACCTTGAAATGTGGAACCGTCAGTTCTAACCGATGGGAGAAAGCTATGAAACGATACAGTAATTTAGTAAAGAACGTCGACAGCCTTGAAGTCATGGACGATAATACAGTAGCGAGCAAAATAGCTAACAGCTCAATACAGTGGAGCATGCGATCTTAAATTCATTAGTAAGCTCACTTTTTTATACGACCCGTCATCACCTCTACCGTTCTAAAACACAAGCATATAGCGCAGTGGTTGTGGGTGCAATGCAATACACACATTGTTGATGGTTTGCCAAGCCCTTTATCCCTTTTCCATTCCATCCTTTATGAATTGGGAAATTAGTAGCATAAATGTCTGAGGAGGTTAAAAACCGACTTCCTAAATCGGTGGGCCCTTAAACTCATTTTATAAGCTAGATATGTATTCAGTTACCTCTATGACGCTTGATGAATTCGAATGCATGGCGCGCTCTCATGATGTGATCAGTGAGTGCAGCTCTTTCCATTATTATCCTAATGTGAAAGTAATAATGAAGAAGTCACAGCCCAACACTTTCTATTCTCTGATAGCTGCGCTTAGATGCACCTAGGTTTTCACTTCAGCAGCGGTTAACATTTATGAATCGGAAGAACTTTTGCTTTGTCACAAAAGGATTCAAGTAGGAATAATTCTTTCTACTTCTGTTCAGCAAACACGAGGTGTTATTTTACTTCTTTATTTACGTACAAGCTGACGCTTCGGCGGATTTCGCCCTCCTCAGAACCTGGAAAGGTCAAGTTGACTGCAATCTACACGGCCAAACATCTCCATAACCAAACAGAGAAAATGCTGAACCAAAATTTCAATCACATTGAACACAGAGACTTTGCACACTCTCCGCTTTCTATGAGTCTTCCACTAAATATGTTACGTGGAGACCAACCGCACAGAGTTCACACGGAATCGTATTGTGCCCATTTCATCAAAAGAAGAGGCTTATATACTGCTCAATATCACGCGTGATAATGAGGCATTCTTCCCTGCGGTTCATTTTCGGTTTCTTGGAAGTAATCGAGAATGCCTCTAGAGTTTTGCGCGCTTGTGTTCTCGATTCCTGCGCGAGGATCCTAACCTCTACTTCAAAATCTTTAAAAAAGGAAATCTGAAATCAGCCGAAACGTCAGCTTGTACGTAAATAAAGAAATAAAGTAACACCTCGTGTTTGCTGATCAGAAGTAGAAAGAATTATTCAATCAATGCCGAGGTTAATAGAAAGTCGGACGTGGGAGTTACTTCAAGTAGGAATGTTTGAAGTATTCAAATTGCTTTTTTTTTCATGACCATCCATGGACTAATTCTGCACGCCGCCATCTTACATTGAATAAAGATGCAGTTGTATTCGCAGGAAAACGGTAAGCTGCACTCGTTTTTGGAAGGTTTGGGCCAATTTATGTAGAAGTCCGACTTTTTTTTTAATGGGTGGGCTACGTTTTTACAATGAAGAAGTTTTGGATTCTGGAAATGTAGATGTTTTTATTGAAGACTATTATGCAAGGATTTTTGCATGGCTTTTGCATCTTGATGAGAATCCTAATGAGGAACTAAGTTTGGAAAATAGTTCAGAAATGCCTTTACTTTGAGTGCTCTTCTTCTCACGATGGTTATTATGGCGAAGTCGTTTGTATCGGTTTCCAATCACTTCCCGTCATCGTTGTTTTTCCCAACTGTTAACAAAGTTGTTTGCTTTTCCAGTATCTAATTAACACAACTGAAGTAAAGAATCAGTGGATCGGCATCTCTTCTGCTCCTAGACTTTTGTAGTCACTATTTTTGAATATATACTGCCCTACCACTCTTGAGCTGGTTTCCTTTCGGGGATAGAGTATCTGCCGCCCGCTTTAACTAATATGCTTCAAACTGATTTTTCAACAGAAGACGTTAATTTCTCGATCAATAGAGTCTCTCAGCGGTAAAAAATGAAAATAAAAATATAAGATACATTGAGAAACACCATCGTGTCTGTGCAGACCGAGTTTCGATTACTCACTTGCTTTAATCTTCGAAATACGAACTTTGCCGAGAAGAAACAAAAGAAACGTGTTTCACAGGCTTCAGAACATCAGAATTCCACCTGGTAAAACAGCAGAACTTTTATGCTGTAAGCGAAAACTTGAACGTTTCAAGTTTTCACTGCAACTAATCAAGTTCATTTCGGGCTGAGGGATGTTATGATATGATGTAACAAGCTGAAATCGACTATTATTTCCGCCTTATATGACTCCTATAAAGCTCACGTCGTCGAAAACGGGTTAGTATAACAGCATGAATTCCGCGATTATTCTTTGTAAGGCTTTTAAAAACAACAAGGCAACAACTGTCTTGTCTTTAATCTTACTTTCGAACTAAACCGTATTTGATTTATATCTCCGAAAACATGTTATAGTGGAACGTAACTAACTGTATAATAACTGTGCGTTGGATCTTCTCAACTTTTGTGACAGAGTTTTTTAAAATTTGGCCCACAAGTCTAACTTAACCCTGCGAACGATTTAGCGCATTTCAATAAAAGAGTTTTGAAAAAGCTCTGTTCATTGTTAGGGTCAGTTCATTAACAAATTATATAATAAATTTGTATGTTGAGTATTTATAGAAATACAAGCAACATCGGCGGCATATCCCGGCGGTTCCGGTCACATGGTCCTTTGAAGAAGCAGATCAGCCACAAAACGGAATCACGAAGACACATACAAAGGTCGGCGACAGCTGGTCATCGAATCTCAGTCTCATCTATCTTACTAAAACCTTCGTCGTCGTCGTCAGTACTACCAGGTCGTGTTGTACGTCGTGAACCGCAGATGTTTCGTTCACTTCCACATTTCCGCATCGTGGGCATCACTCCTCCACCAACGCCACGGCCATTTGCTATCGTTTCAAGAAAGCACAAAAACATTAACAAGTTACAGTTAATCTCGAGTGACGAAACAACGAATGGTAGACCTTTAGCTTCATTTCTGCTTCGTAGAGGTCCAGCACACCAAAAGCCGACGAAATGGGTGTTGAAGCTGCCTTCAGTTGATTCACATCATCATTGGATGGTTAAGCCAACCAGACTACGTCTGCTACGTCCTGCTACTAATATAGTCTTTTCCAGTGATAGCAGGTTACTAACGTTTTGTTTTGTTTTTTTTCTCTCAACTATGTCTCTAACGTCATAGAAAAATGTTGTCAGTGTGAAGAAAAGCTTCGCTGTCGTTTCCAACTCATTTCTGTTCTCATCTAATAGTAAAAATCATAGCATTGAGTCGTGTTCTTTTAATGTTTACGGGCTGTGAACAATATCATCGTTAGGAGTAAAAGTTTGCATAACAATAGTGTAAAATACACTAAAATCGTCCTCTGAGTGGCTCTTACTAAGTGACTGTACTCATCCCGTTTATTAGCTTGCACTAGTTTCAATAGTAATGATCTTTAACGTCATTCTTCCTTAGTTAGAGTTTAGCTCTTGCTTTAAAAGAAAATAATGCATAACAGAAAGCATCTTTATTCAGAATTCCGTCTAGACCGACATCTGGAGCCGACAGAGCAGTAGCAGGTAAGAAACCGCTAGGTGGAAGGGACTGAGTGCTGTTGCAAACTGTTATCCTACTTCCTTTCTCTAGAAATATGAGTTTTAATATTTTCATTTACTCGATCATAATAATTAGAGCACCCTCTTAGAGGTTCATTTATGGTGTATGTGTGTAGCACAGTGGCTACTCGAAATCGTTGAATTGATTTTTTTCCCGAGGTTATTTTATCGCGCAGTTTTTATCCCTACGGGCTTCTTCGTCGGCCAACTGCTTTTATCAAGTTGATAGATAAACACATTATCATGTGTGTTAGCGATTTTTAGCAACAAGAGAAGAGCGGTATCGAAAACTCAATGACCGATATGATTATTGATTAGATGGAAATTTGATTATTCTAGAAGCATTTCTCTTCACGCTGGTGATTTCAGGTTTATCAACAGCAACCCTCAGGAGAAGTGGTCAAATTCATCGGATTCATATACATCATGCTATCACTGGCACAGCTACTACTATAAATCCTAAAAGTGAAAATGTCAACGAAACACTGTCTGCGTCATCAACTACCATTCCTCTAGACGTTAGTGGCTTTAGGAAATCCAGTGTTCACAAAGTATCGGCGGAAAGTTTAAAGGCTCGACCGGTGACAACATCGTCGAAGAAGACTACAACTATGACCGCAACCGCATCTACTATTACCACTGTAGCTCCAAGCAGCACACTTGCAAGTAGCGTATTGCCCTCGTTTAGCAAAAATCGACGCCTAATCATCATTAATCGCAGTTTCACTCCACGAAACAGAAATGACAATGATTCGCTTAACCACCTTCCTAGTCAATCGTCTGCAAATCTAAAACAAACTTCTATAATCACTACCGATATTCCAGAAAACGACAGCAAACCTACGAAATTGTTCTTTGCTACGACGCACAGGCAAGTGAACGTAACGCCTAAATTCGCTGATACATCAACTTCTGAGATAATATCAAAGGCATCAACTACTCTACCCATTGCAAGCACAGACTTAAAATTCCCCATACAGTCATCACTGGATACGGGAGACTGGGAAGCTCCTATTGAAGAATCAATGTCAGAAATTTTACCTGGAAGAGCTACTTCGGAAAGCTTTGCTAAATTGTTAGGAAAGGAGTCAGGGAATTTGTTAGGAACTTTTGAAGTACCAAATAAAGTCGATAAATCGATACCAATGGAGATGCCGATACCGTTGCCGGAGAAAGAATTCACTATAAAACAAATATTTGGCAAGGGTACAAAAGATAACGAATTGAGAGAGAGCTTCCCAGGTAAGCCTAAGGAAGTACTTTCGACTGTGACTACTTCAGCATTAACAAGTAGTACTAGTAGTACTAACACATCCTCTACTACAAGTTCTCCTACTGCTACTACTCTCACCGAAAGTACGACATCTACCACAGCTCTTTCTCCAACAGGTAGTACAACTGCTACGACTATAACTAATGGCTCCAATTCTACAACTTCATTAACGATAACAACCAGCAATTTATTCACCAAGGTGATTAAAGCTTTTTACCACTTTTTCTCAAATGATCTTATTTTTGACTAGCATATTTAATGCATTGTTGGAGCACATTGAACAACATGCATTGATTTCAACGCGACCTTCCCGAATATTTATTTCGACAGGTTTTTAGTGCTCTTTGTACTCAATCGATAATATCCCTTAAAAGATGTTGTGCCAAGGATAATCGTATGAAAGGGATGCTATACACTAAGCGATTTCCAAAACAAAAAAAGTTTCTGTAATGAGCTTGTTCACTATGTCACAAGGGATGCAACTGAAGAGGGCACCATGAGATCTAATTTTTAGAAATACAAAAACGTGAATCCTACGAAGATTCCTTGTTTTTTTTTTTACTAAGTTAGCAGCACGGAGACTCTTTCCGATGAAGAGAGTACTTGAGCCTCCTTCATGCTGGTGGGTGGTATATCGGACTGTATGTCTTGAGTTGAATGTATACCTTCAACGCGTGTTAGGTAGTTACCTAGCTCATCATATCTTGTCAAATCTATCTTCCCGGCAATCACGTTTTCAAAAGGGATTCTATTGAAGATCCGCTTAACTGCATGCATTGATTGATTATAAACTGAGAAGTTCATAAGTTCTGTTAACATTTACATTGGGATAGAATAAAAAACCATAGTAATAGAAACGAATACGGTTGCCAATTCCAGCTGATGCTTCGAATTCCAATAGTGTCCTACATATAAAATCTGGATAGCATATTTCCTAGAAAAGAAATGATTCATTATGTATGTTTTTTAGCAATTCATGTTTAAGAAGTAGTACTTTCATAGTCATCAACTCTATCGCCTGTCGTTCCCTTCGAGCCCAAGCTTCCACCAGAGAATCTCAAGAAAGTTAGTGAATTAAAAGAAGACCTAGACGAAAATTTTGTCAATGGTATGTCCGGCATTCCTAGATTAAGTTTATTTTTGCCAACTATGTTAAAAACAAACAGACAAATGAGTCACACATGACTCATATCGACGCTATTGTGGAGTATATATCTTTCTGGATTGTGGTCCATGAAGAAGGAATGTAGGGAAGAAAAGATAAAAAAACAAATTTAAAACAAAGAGATAACAAAAGAATGTTCATGTATTTAGAAAAAAGGAAGTTCTTGATAAATTTTTTTTATAAGGTGTACTATCAACACTGACTCCACCACCGTCGACCTTGAAAACATCATTACCATCGGTACAACAGATTGGGGCACCTGGAGCGGCACCACCAAACGATTCTGTGGTAGACGAACTCAACCGAGCTGAGAATTTCATGGAGGTTAGTGAACATGCATTTATATCTTTTAAAGACCTAATGCTTACTGAAAAAATTCTTAGTCTTAACCTAAATTTTAAACATCACTGTTCAGTGCAATGAATTACAATCCCAGAACAATGCAAGTCATCACTGACATTGTCGTATAACTCCCTATTAAGTGGGAGCTTCTATAACAGCGATAGAGATGAATCGAGTGACGTACCCATCATTTATACCATTCATATCTTAGTAGGAAGAATATAACCGAGAGGCTTTCACGGTTCAAAGCGGTGTGGAACGGGGGAAAAATTTCAGTGTGTATTATATACATAAAAAGCATAAATGATAAAGTGGTCGGCATAGATCAATCCCCATATTCAGCTTCATCAAGCATCATTAAAGGTGACTGAATGCACGCCTTATCAATACAATGACTTGCAGTGGCCTACCCATCCACAAAGTTATTGTTGCTGCCCTTCTAAAGAAGTCTGGTACCAATTTGACCACCCTAGAGAGACAGAATGTTTGGTGAGCCCTGGGCGCAGGGTCGAACCACGAACCGATCCACTGTGTAGTTGTAGTGCACCTCTAACCACTCCGCTACATGCGCCTCATATTACAAATATATATATGATGCATACTATTTACCTATGTATCTGAGTATATATGTACGTATATATATATATGTTGTTCATACATATGTGTTTACTCAACAAAAATATCGAGAACTATATATATAAAACCTACATTCGGATCCAAGTACAAAATCAATATTCCAGGTAAGTGAGCTGTAACAATCTATACAAATCGATTTTGACTTGGAACGTTGTTGAAGGCTACATATTTCGTATTATCAAGTGAATCTCTCGAATTTTAGAACCTCCTGAATCGAAAAAAACTAGTCAATCTTATCAGCAGGAATTCTGTACCACTATCAAATTGCAGGTTGCTCAACGACTAAGCCTATTTCGAGATCGATTCACCCAAAAATGACAACAGTAGATAGAAAGGAAATTCATAATCCAATTTTTCGTCATGCAGAACGAAAAGCTTATTCTTAGACGACGGGAAACATTTTTATATATCAAGTCGACTAGAACCAATCACACCGTATTCACTCAGTTATACACTTTGTTTCTTGAGTCTTCCTGTAATCACTTTATCGCTTGAACTAAAGAGTGACGGGTTTTCTCAAATAGAGATTGATTGTATTACACGCTGCCTTAAGAATTTGCTCTTGTCCATTAAAAAAAAGTCGTTAGCTTTATAGTTACTAATGCAAGGTGAATAAACGTCTACATTTGAGATACTTCCGTCAAAAATACGGAGTAATTGAGAAGGAGTAAGTCAGCCAATAGAAAAAAATGGAGAACTTTAGCAATAGGAGAAATAGGACAAAGATCCTGCTGGGATATTGGCGAAACTCCGTACCGTAGGTGTCTACAGTGGGAAACAAATGCGCTATTGTCCTTTCCGCGAGTAACGCGTTTACCACCACACCATGCGGGTCCTTCGCTTCGCCTGTCTCTCAGCTAGTTCTATTCGTCGGCGCTATCAGCATGGTGTGGTGGTGAACGCGTTACTCCCCGGAAAGGGCAATAGCGCGTTCGTTCCCCCCCGCAGACACCTGTGGTCCGGAGTTTTGCCAATATCCCAGCACTATCATAGTTGTATTTCACATGATACCCTGCCGTTAAAAATTATAGTAGACAGTAAATAAAAAAAAGGTTAAGGAGAAATACGGTTGTGAATCCTACTGGTACAGGAAAAAAAGAAAAAAGGCAAGACAAAAAGGATTCACGTATCATGAAAGCGATACCCGAGACGAAAACAGAATGACGTTTCAGTAACTTTGGGTTCCTTATTATTAAGCAATAATTAGTAACTGCTACGACCGACTTTCCATTAACCTCGGCATTGATCAAGTGATTTTGTTCGTATTTTTGTTGAGCAAACGCGAGGTGTTATTCTTTCTTGTTCACGATTAAGCTGACGTTTCGGCGGATTTCGCCTTCCTCAGAGCCGCTTCCTATGAGGTTTCCACTAAGTATGTCACGTAGAGACCAACCGCACAGAAATCACGTGGAAGTATAATGTCAAATTTAGTAATTTAGTATAATGTAAGTATAGTGTAGTATAATGTGACATTATACTTCTACGTGATTTCTGTGCGGTTGGTCTCTACGTGACATACTTAGTGGAAACCTCATAGGAAGCGGCTCTGAGGAAGGCGAAATCCGCCGAAACGTCAGCTTAATCGTGAACAAGAAAGAATAACACCTCGCGTTTGCTCAACAAAAATACGAACAAAATCACGCAATAATTAGTTTTTCTACGGATCTCTCTCACTATGGCTGGTTAGTCCGAGGTCCTGTAGCGTGTTCCGAGGAAGGGTGTATCACAGTCGACCAGTCGTGAGGTTATGTGGCGGGCGTATCCCGAATGAAAGACATTTGGATAGACGAAGGTCATAATAGACTGTCTGTAACTCTTCTCTCCATGTATTCATTCTTTGATGTGCTTACACGAGGTTGATAATGATGTTTATTTTCGGCTAACGTTTCGACGTCTTAGTCTTCCTCAGAGCCGATGATCCGAGTCGATGGTCCTCGCTTGTTATTCGTCTCGACGTGGCAGCTTCGCCTTCGTGTCGAGTCAGGTCTTCTTCAGTGAGCCATCTCCTCGAATGAGGCATCCTTACTCAGTGATGCCCTTTTATACACGATGATTATGTCCGGAAGAAAAAGTTATCACCGGACATTATCATTATATCCACCATCTGCATCGGCTCACTGAGGAAAATCTGACTCAACACGAAGGCGAAGCTGCCACGTTGAGACGAATAACAGTAATAACAATAACAATAACAATAACAGGACCATCGACTCGGATCATCGGCTCTGAGGAAGACGAAGACGTCGAAACGTTAGACGAAAATAAACATCATTATCAACCTCGTGTAAGCTCATCAAAGAAAGAATACATATTGATTAGTGATACCGAGGTTCAAGGAAAGTCGGTTTCGAAATACTCTTATCTCTCATGGCGAATTGAAAAACAGCTTTTGTATCCACATGTACATGCTCATGAATATGTGCGCAGATTGTTCGCTTACACTGAAATTGTACTTTACAAAAAATTCCGTCCAAACGTTTACCATTAAGTGAATAGGACGTAGAAAGCGGTTAGGAGACGCCTTCAACAAATAAGCACCACATCTATTCTGAAAGAGAGTGGCAAGCAATCCTGGAGCAAATCTAGCCCCTGCTGAGAGCTCGGCAAGCTATCCGTTAAACCCCATAAAATAAGTAGGCCGATTTGGGCGCCCTAGATCAATCCCACTGACGAGTGATTGCTGTGGCAAAGATCGATAGAAATAACTGAGAGACAGGCAAAACAAAGGACCCGCATGGTGTGGTGGTGAACGCGTTAGTCCCCGGGAAGGACAATAGCGCGTTCGTTCCCCACCATAGACACCTGCGGTCCAAAGTTTTGCAAATATCTCAGCAACGTTGTGGCTGTAAGTAGGCTTTATTTTACTGACTATGAAAGAATCACTGATAATGGATGGGCCATGATGACGAACTGTACTTATGGAGTACGAATGCTGCTATTTCAATCTTAGAATTGAAAGACCACCTGCATCATCTGTCGTCCCATCGGTCGTCGAGTGACTCGAGCTGGTGCCAGTAAATCTTCCACTCTTTCCTGTCACTTGCAAGACTAGTCCAGCGGGTTTTGCTCGCTCTAGGTGCTCGTTGCATCATATCTTTCTTGTCGTGTTTTCGTGAAGAACTCTGACCATTGGATCGTTGGTCCTCCTGCAGTACGTTTGACACCTCGAGGAAACCAGTCACTAATGGCGCTTGTCCATCGGTTGTCGTTCATATACATTGTGTTTTCGGCCCACCTTATCCTCGACACATTGGCGCACAGAACGGTGTCTTTGATTTTTGATCGTTGACGTAGATCGTAACTTTGGTAACCTTCCCTCATTTCTGTGACATGGGTTACTCCTAGCATTGTCCTTTCGATTACATGTTCAATAACACTGAGTGGTCATCCACTCTATTTACATAGCCAGCGAGTTTCTTAAGCATTTTGTAAGGCAAGAAGAATCGTGGAGTCGAAAAGATGAGTACGGAGTCAGGTGTTCTTTGCTGTCCTCAATACATACTGGATGCTTTTGAAAGCTCCCTAAGCCGCCCGTTTCGTCCTGCTCAACTGTGGAGCGCAGTCGTCGATCACGTTGATTTGCTGACCTAGATAGACGTAATTGGAGGAGTTGGAGATATTCGTTCCTGTGAGCTTGCATAGGTGAATGAATAACTAGTCCGTTCCTCATGAACATTGTTCTTGCGAGATTTAGTCGAAGACCAACTTTTCCACAGAATTTATCGAAATCGGCAAGCATTCGTTCCGCCTTCCTAATGTTTAGTATTATAAGAACGATGTCATCAGCAAAACGATAATGGTGTAATTGCCAACTATTGATTTCCACTCCTATGTCGTCCCATTCCACTGTTCACACAACGTTCTCGAGGATGGCGGTAAACAGTTTTGGCGATATTCTTCTTGCCTGCATGATCGAGTCTTCCAGCGAGGACTCAGATGCAAGTGTACATGCATTGTAGGTAAAGATCGTCTCCTTAATCCTTTGCGATTTAGTCTGCCTACAATGGCCGTGAGATTTTGGCAGCCTCTCCATACTCATCCCGCCCAACGCTGCCGAATCGGGGTCCCTTACAGGGTCAGGGGAATCAGGCCCGTTTACTTTACTGTGTCTAGCTTTTCATACGCGGGTATAGCTTGCTGAGCTCTCAATGTGGGGGCTGGGTATACTAGCGGATAACTTACCAGGCTGTTTCAGAGTAGATGTGGAGCTTATTTATTGAGGGCGACTTTGAAATTCAAAAAAATTGAAAAGACGAGGAACTTTGAAAACTTTCGCCGTCTACACCGCAACATCAGGGTAGATGAAAGCTGTTGAATCTTATTCGGACTTCCAAATTCTACAAAGAAGTTCACACCTTTTATAAGGACAATACTGATGATTACATCATCATGACTAGAGAAGAGCGTCTGCTTCTCACATCCAGACTGCGTATTGAGATTTAGTAGAAACAGAGGGGCCTGAGTTTGTCTTGATAGTCAAAACAACTAGTACAACTTCTAAAAACCATCCTCTATCTTTTAGACATGACAGTCTCTCAGTAGTAGCACAGCGAAATAGACCAAACGGTGGTAAATCGAAGGTTTCGACTAGTCATTGTTGATAGGACACCTTCTTCCATAAATTCTCCAGTTTAGGTCAGATAATACTGTAGAAATCATAGAAAATAAAGTTCACGTCGAGCTTATGATTCTTTGCAAAAGTGCTATAAAGGAAGGTATTACGACAGAGTCTTCTCGACTTCAAATAGGTTACTCTTTAATAAAAAATTGCACGACATCCATTTCTCACAAACTAAGACCACATCTGATAAAGAGCATTCGGCCCCAATCGTCCTAAATACGGGTCCAATTCTTCCACACATTCCCAGTCTGAGTGCATAGCTTACAGTCAGTGGGAAAGCCTAAACTCATCTTAAACAGAATTGATTTAAAATTCAATGAAAGACAGCCATATGAGAAAATAGATCTCAAAAGGAACTCAGCACAATGTATCTACACGAGTGGGACAACGGTTAATTAAACAAAAAGCTCTTGTTTCATATAAGTTAGGATCAATTTTAAAAAAACCAAGACTACCACTAAAGTGCTAAAATATCGGATAAAACTTCGATTGAGATCGATCCCTGAGGGATGCGCCATGCATTCGATTCACCAAGCATAGTAGAAGTTGCTGAATGAAGACTGGGTTAATATAATGGTTAGCGCTAAGCTATCGATGTATCAAGTTAGCACTGCTCTCATCACCAAACAGTCCTTTACTAATTTGCTGAGGATGCAGGCCTTCACAGGGCCACGGTGCAAGATCGATCCAGAGACCCTATTGTATTTTCATGGTATCCTCAGCCATATACGCTTTCCTGCCCTAACACACTCCTCAAAAAGAAGAGAGTCATAATACTCTGCCGTAAAAAAAAAGAGTAGGCAGCAAATAAAAGTTGAAACATTGTGATTTCGACTGCAGGTTCAGATAACTGGGTTCAATGTCGATTTGTGCTCTGCAGATCATCCATGGTGACGAGTTGCTGGTAACACCGATAGAGTAAGAGCATGTCCGAGAGAAAGACAAAGCGAAAGTCTTGGTTAGAACAGTGGATAACGCGTGAGCCCAGGAAAGAGTAATCGCGGTTCGAAGCGCACCTGAGGTCCCAAGTTTTGGTCATATCTCAGCAGTGATTATATTTCAAATAATACCCTTCCATGAAAAAAGAATAGGCATTAAAGCTAAAACAACATGGGAGCTGTTTGAAGAGCATGAAACTGCCCAGTATCGTGAAACGCGCTATCGAAGAGATGTGAGATTACAGGATGTGGAAGTCTAACCCATGCCGACCATTTAAGGTAAGGAACACGGCTGTACACGTCAATATGTCAAAAATCCCATGCTTGGATATGCTGTGCATCTTATCGAGGACTACACAAAAGTTGTTAGCGAGATAGACTGTCAACTGCACCAAATGAATATCACTAGCCTAATAAGCAGACTTAATGGACATCTGGATGAGAAAGAGAATACTTTTTAGGAGCGAAAATCTTCCATATTCCTAAGCTTGTATGAGGATGTTGTGAAACTTGGGAAACAAAACTCTTTATTATTTCCAAGCGACCACAACTCACTTATTAAACGATTTTATTAGGCCCAGGATAGTAGAAAATGACAGGAACTTTATTTTAGCCTAACACCTGAGCTTTATTTTTTGTTATCCAGAAATAGTTGGTTTTTACGTCATAAAATAGGCGCGTAAATAATGGTTGATTTATTTTTAAATACAACACAAACATTGAGTGAATATGTATTGCATCGAAGAAAAGATAAAACCTAATATATCTGCTACTACAAGCCCTTTCTAACGAACAATAAGTTAAGTTATGAGTTCACACAAACAATCTAAAAACGCTAGACATTTGAGTAGTAATGATCCAGAGATTTCAAAGTTAAGGTATGACTTTGGAAACATCTCGAGGAAACTGAAGCTGCACTAGTAAATAATATTGAAGAGATCGAATTGGTTTTTTGAGTGAGAATAAAAATTTTCATGAGGTGCTGTAGAAGAAAACAGAGCACTCATCATCTAATCAGCAAACCAAGAGTTCCAATATTAAAGCAGAAACTTAGTAAACATCAAAAATCGAAGAAAACAGTGCATATCTACGGCATGTTATGCCACAAGCACATTCGGAGGCCGTTCGGTATACTGTATTAAGGGTACAAGGAACGTTTTCCATATTTAGCGACCTGCGTGAATGGAGATCCACTCACAGTGAGCGCGCCGAAAAATTAGGCGCAGAAAACATGCGTCATCTACGCTACTTAGGCTTTGGTCCTTAAGTCACTAAGCGTTACAGCTAGAATATTCTGCAGCTATGGTGAGACGGTTCAATAATACATGAAAAGAGGGAATCAAGAACAACGTTAATAATCTGCCACCTATACATTAAAACAAAAAGAGCATCCAAAAACTCCAGTAAAATAATGTACGCGAAAAATCTTAGTCACAACTAAGCAATCAACTTCTAAAAAAAAATCATCAATGCAATTGGTTATTGTTCTTCTTATCACAGTTTAACAATGACAAAGATTTGCAAAGTGTGCTTAAGAAAGAACTTGGAACAGAAATATTTCAAGATAAGGAATCAAATAGAAATAAAGATTCAAACTCTATGAGATTGTCGACTTGAGGAAACAAAATCCTAATCAATAAATACCAACCAGAACAAATGATATTCAAAAATACATCTCTTAGATTGTTCAAATTAAACAAGGTCGTTAAAAGTCGGCTGATGTTTCGATGTCTTCGTTCGTCTTCTTCAGAGCCGATGATTCGAGTCGATAGTCCACAGTCGTTTCTCCTCGCGGTATGGCCCTTCATTTTGGTATCAAGTCGGATCTTCTGGAGTAGAGCACTGAGCACAACTTAGTTACTCACGCCGAGGTTAAGTGAAGGTCGGCTTAGTAAAGTATTATTATTTTGATATATGCTAGCTATATCCCAACAGTTTACCACCTCACCGTGACTGTGAGGTGTACCTGGGTGTCTGATTGTGATGTACAGCGGGTGGTTCATCTCTCCAGCAGAGCCTCCCAAGCTGGGAAGGAATTCGACGTTTGAATCCGGAACTCCAGTTAAGAGTAAGCCAATACTAGAATATACCACCGTCTTGGCATCAAACTAATTGCATGGTGAGAAATCTCTCTCCGATCCACAAGGGCGTCCACTGCCTGTGGTCGTGACGACCTGGTGTGACGAACTCTGGCTAGGCTGACCTCGGGACTCCAAGGAACCAAATTAGCCAGGCCAGCAAAACTCCGAAAAGTGGGAATTATGCTGGTACCCGTAAAATTAATGAAGACTGGACATCCAAGCATCCAAGTAGGTACATGATAGCTGTTCTAACATCGACTGCTATGGGATGGATTACCGACATAGAACGAAATAATTATCACTCATAATCAGTCAACAATTGTTAAAAATGCATGCTAACTCAAGAAGACTCGACTTCATACGACTACGAACAGCCACATCGAGAGGATGAACTACTGTGGATCATCGACTCGGGTCACTGGTCCTAACGAAGATGAAGACGTCGAAACGTTAACCGAATAAAACTTGTACAAACCAGTGTAAACAGAACAATCTAAGGAAATATATTGATTATACGCCAAGGTTAAGTGAAAGTCGGTTTAGTAAAGTACTACCATTTCGCTATAAGAACATAATATTTATGATAACGAAAAACGAAAATCTCAAACACTTGCAGGGAGTCTTTCGTAAGCAAGGACATTGAGAAGAGAAAAGAAAACTCCCCAAAAAAGTCGACGAGTTAAAATTTAGAACGTGCAAAGATTGAAGTAGAAAAACTGCACAAACGGTAACGTGAAGTTATTGTTTAAGACTATTTGACTACAGGTACTCGTTCAACTGTTAGTAAACAATGGATAGTTCGATGCCCAACAATAAATTTGACAAGGCATTACTACTACCCTTTATGTTCTTCTACTAAATGCCAAGTATTAGCGGTTCAAATCTGCAAGTAATTCATACTTTTTAGACATAGTAGTATGTTGAGGGGGACTGTTACTTATTCTCACAGTACTTCAAAATCTGAGCACTCCCACGCAAACTGAGTTTTTATCAGCTTTTCCTTGACAAAGCACCGCTACCACTGACGAGTGACGCGAAGATGTAGACAGTAGTCGAATATCGACCACTTAATAGTCGTCTATCAAGTTCCTAAAATTCATAGGATTTTCCTTTACTTTTGTTCGACCGCGATCAATATGCATTTTTTGCACAGCGAGATCAAAATTTAGGTTCCTTAAAATAAATAACATTAACGCCTGGTTCAAAAGTTGTTTTCACCAGCGTACTAACTTTGTTTAACACTTACACAAAACTCCATTCATTATGCAGACCATTGGCTGAACAGGCCTCTATACAGCAAACGGTACTCCACATAAAGCATGCAATAAAACAAAGATTGAACTTTTTCCCTGTGGCTGGAATGCGGACCGCGAATAACCAAGAGTTACAAGAGTATAAAAACAAACCAAGAAAACAAACAGTAAAGCAAAATGACGACTGGAGGGACAGCGTCCTCTTACCGTTCTCCTTCATCAGTTGTAGACGTTGGATTACCTCAATTAACACATAACATATACCATATTGCGGAGATTTAAGAACTTCTGTGTAGACCAAGACTTAAAGCTCAGTTGCGAGACTTTGTAGCCTTCGAAAGAACTGTAAAATTTCAAGCAAGAAACATCTTGACGGTTATAAAAGCGAAGTATGAAGTAAAAAGAGTATGCGATGAAGCCATTCTGCGTTCAATGTGATTGAAATCTTGGTTTAGCGTTTCCTCTGTTTAGTTATGGAGGTGTTTGGATGGGTAGATTGCTGTCAACTTGACCTTTCCAGGCTCTGAGGAAGGCGAAATCCGCCGAAACGTCGGCTTGTGCGTAAATAAAGAATAAAATAACACCTCGCGTTTGCTCAACAAGAATATAAAGAATTACTTGATCAATGCCGAGGTTAATAGAAAGTCGGTCGTGGAAGTTATTACGAGACGTACCACCACGATACTTTCGACTTGTAAAAGAAGTACTGTCACTAAGACAAAAGATCGTCTTAACTCGGCAGTCAACATACTTTCTCCGCCGCTGTCTGAAACACTGAGTCGTCCCGAACTTCGTCAAACGAAGGCGACTATACGAAGTATGCGGACTACCAGAGGATGGCCAAAGTACTGGACACCGAAATGAGAGTACTACGCACCTGTCTACGAAGCAAACGAAATCAAATGTTCGCCAAGTGGAAGTGCGAGACGAAGGAAAATCATTGTGCTCAGTATTTGGAGGATGGCCTCTGGAGGAGAATAGTGGGTGGGTCAATGTTGATTAGCAACTCTATTAGGTCTTATGCTAAAGTAACCTTGCGGAAAAATTCGGAGACCTTTTGAGGAAGTCATATAACACGGGTGCTTCGAGAAGGTATAAAAACACCGCTAACGAAGGTGAAATGAATCAGAGCGGGATAAATAATGTGCCAGGGAATTCAAGGTTAACCGTGTTAGGAGGCATGGCTCTCTCTGACAGAACGTGCTCGCTATTAGAACTGGGTCCAAGTTTCCATCTCTACTCATTTCTAAGATAACCTTGCGTAGGGTCGCATGTAGCTTACATGAACTTCAAGATAGACTCCGTAAGAAAGCTAAAGACGAAGCACGAAATAGGAGCGAACAGCAGGAAGTAGGGGTATTACCACCACCACCATTTCCTCAACCGTTTTTTAGACAACAAGACCCTAACAATGAAGTCGACATCAAGATTCGGACATTTACAAACTAAACTTTCAATATCGTTTTAATCACTATCGCGCGAAAGATAGGCTCCAGCCTCACTGAAGTGCAAAAACGTGGTATGCGAGAGGTACGAGAGCTGATAAGATTGAAAAACATAAGATTATCCATTAGTGATAAGCGTGGAGAGTTTGTAGTAATTCGTCATCAGTGAGATGTTGAAATAACGAAAAAGCATCTTGAAGATGATTCACTTTATCGCCCATCATCTGAGAAGGAATTTAAAAGTAAATACCGAAAATTGAACCACGAATGGGCCAAATGGTAAGGGCTGCTGGTTTAAACTATCAGTTATCTCTCAACTAAAAATTGATTTACCAACATGTCCCGTCTTGCAGTTGCTTATAAAAACTCATAAGTTAGTTTCCAACGATGATCTTGCGTCTACCGATCCATCATTGTTTAAAGTTAGACCTTTCATTAGCTTTGCAGACGCGCAAATTGATAGGATAACGCGGTTTTTAACCCTAATATTTACGCAGTTGCTGAAACACATTCCAGTCCATCTCACGAATGCCTAGACGTTTCTGGATCGTCTACGTACTGCGCAGCCCAGCAGCGTGTACGTGTTGGAGTCGTTCGATGCTACCGCCCTTTATACAAACATGTTGAATGAATATGCAAGCCATAAACGAGCTCCTTATACAACACGAAGGAGCAATAAACATGTACGGTTTCTCGATTCAGCAGTTGATGACACTCTTAAAGGAGTGCCTAAACTGCTCAATCTTCAGATGGTCCGGGAGGTATTACGCACAAATGAGAGGGCTGGCAATGGGACAACGACTGGCACCCAGCCTTGTCATTGCATTCATGTCTAAGGTGGAAGCGCCAGTAATCGACCTCGGTCCGTTACTCTACTGTAGATAAATAGATGACTGCTTGGTCATTTGTTCAACACAAAAAGAAATTGACAGATGTTTCGAGTTGTTGAACGAACAGTCAGAGTATATTAAATTCACCCGAGAGAAACCAAAAGAAGACTGGCTTCCATTTCTGAACTTGCAAATTAGCCTATCAGAAAACGGCTACATTACGAAGTGGTATCGAAAGCCAAGTAGTAAAAACATCTTGGTTCATTACCTCTCCTCTCACCCCTCTCACACGAAAAGGGCGCTTGTGAGAAACATGTTTCGAACAGACAACAACGTGTATACAGGAAGAGAGCAGAGAGAGGAGTCCAAGAACTTGCTGCGGCAAATAGCCATTCTTAATGGCTACGAAACTGTGGCTCGAGATAGATGTAGAGGAAACCACAGGTAAGCCAATGATAACTCTAGCTACAATAAGGTCCCGTTTACACTACCCTCCATTTCAAATGAAGTAAAGGCAGCTATAAAACGCTGTTTAAGAAGGACCGGTCTATAGAATTCGGTTAGAATAATCGAAATACCACAGAGCACTCTAACGAGCCAACTAGTTCGCAACACCCTGTATGACCGTCTATGTGCAACGCAAAATTGCATAATTCGCCCTAATGGTAGCGACGGTGATTGCATGAGTTCGGGTAAAGTTTATCTGATTTCCTGTAAGGTGTGCGAAGACGAATACATTGGCGAAACGGGTAGACCCCACTGTGTCCGCATAAAAAAACACTTAGTCGGCAAACTTAAAGTTAGACCAAGTACTCCACTGGACACGCATAGGACACAGAGACATAACGGGGAGAATTTTGAAGTAAAAGTGAGGATACCCGCACAGGAATCGAAAACACAAGCGCGCAAAATTCTTGAAGCATTATGGATTAATTCCCAGAATCCGAAAATGAACAGCAGAGAGGAAGGCTTCATTATCACGCGTGTTATCGGGCAGTATTTAAGACTGTTGTTTTCATGTGAAGGGCGCATTACGCTTTCAAGTAAACTCTGTGCGAATGGTCTCCACATGACATATTCAGTGGAAGACTCATAGAAAGCGGTGAGTATGTGATGAAGCCATTCTGTGTTCAATGTGATTGAAATCTTGGTTCAGCATTTTCTCTGTTTGGTTATGGAGGTGTTTGGCCGGGTAGATTGCTGTCAACTTGACCTTTCCAGGCTCTGAGGAAGGCGAAATCCGCCGAAACGTCGGCTTGTGTGTAAATAAAGAATAAAATAACACCTCGTGTTTGCTCAACAAGAATATAAAGGTTTTAAAAGCGTTCTTATAGCTCGCAGTCATAAAACTCTATTATTAAAACTAGTGGATAAAATACATATACATCGATTGGCGAATATACGTACGCTACCGTTTGACTTTAGCCCTGCTTTTATCATGTTTTTCATATTTCTAGCGCGATTTCATCACACTACATCGTACCACCAAGTGATCAGACATTCTATAAACATGATTTTTGAGCCTCTCGCATTAAATAAAAGACAAGAGACAAGAAAATTGTGAGAGAATCGTAAGTAAAGTGCACCTAGTGTTGATGATAATTGACAGGAGGAGGTGCTGTTCGTCTAATGCTCGGAGTTCGTCTCCAAACCGTCGACTCTCTCGAAGTACGCAGTTCAGCTCCACCATCGCCAACCACTCGAGGTATAGATCCACCGCGGAACTCGATTTCGTACTGAAAAGAAAAGCGTTCTTCAAGAACATTAGCACACAGACCATAGGGAAAATTATGGAAGAAACCAGTTATTTGTAGGAAAAACATTTCTCGCTTTATTTTCTCTTTTTCAAATCTATTTCTGTTTTTTTATGTCTTGAAATCTTGTTCAATCAACCAGGTGTTAGCTTAATAATCCGCCAAGGAATGGAGAGAATTTTCCCAGTAAAATAATCATCTACACCCTGAAGTACTTGCCGCTTGGGGTTTTGGGTTACTTAGAAGTTTAGGTAAAAATTGCAAAATTTCCGAATCTCAGCTAGAGAGCGATGTTTGAGCAAGAGATGATTCAATGTGAAGTTTGATTTCTGTTATCAAGTAGTTAATGTGAGGTACAACTATATAGTAATAAACAACACTTAAAGCTACGAAATAAGACTTTGAATTAAACCAAATTTGTAGAAACGAACAGGATGAAATCAGAATTTTAATAAATGTATTAAGCAAAGGACAAAAAAAGATAAAGCCCTCGGCGTTGATCAATCCCTGAGGTATGCGCCATGCATTCTACTTCACTAAGTATCATTGCGCAGGTGATTGAATGCATATCTGGCCTTTATGATGACTCACTGTGACCTAGCGATGTATCCAGCCAGTGCTGCTATCCTCCCAGACAAGTCTGGTACCAACTTGCCGACCCCAGAGAGATGGAAGGCTTGGTGGGCCATAGGCGTGAGGATCGATTCCACGCTTATGTTGCAGGGCGCCTTCGACCACCGCGCTACACGCGACCCTTGCGATGTATTAAGCAATTCATTCATAATTAAACGGAAACCATATGAATAATATAGCAGTGGATTTAGACATCCACAAGCAAATAAATGACGGCAAAATTTCCTGAAAGCATGTTAGAAGGTGGAAGTACCCGATTGCGGCACCACAAACCACTAAATTTTCAACGTATCCCAAAAGGCATGAGAAAAACTGCCTTTAAGATGAAGCGCCTAGAAATTCAAAGTTATAGGAAATAAGGAATATGTAAGGATTACTGCATCATTACTATTGTCATACATCCATAAACCTGTATATGCTTACCATTTTACAGAATGTCAATCTAAGCCTAAGAAGTGGTTCTAAAAACTGACAGACGTGTACTTGACAAATACTAAGAAACTAAGAACATACCTGCACAATGATGCTCAGATATTTGCACAACTCGGATGTCTTAGCTCAGCTGGGTCTAACGCCGATTTGTGCTCCCCAAAGCATTCCTAATATCTTTGATTGGTGATAGTACCGTTAGGTCAAGAAACTTGCTAATAGAAAGTCAAAGCGTGTGCCTCGGTGGCTCAGTAAATAGGACGTTAGTCCAAGGAAAAGGCAATCGCGGATTTACATCCGACCTGGGGTTTAGGTTTTGCAAATATCTCAGCCTCGTAGTGGTTGTATTCCACATCATATTCAGCCGTAAAAAAATAATAACATGCACTAAATAAAAAGCTAGAATTTAAGAAGATTTTTTTCGCCTTAGTAAATTAAAATTTCTTTTTACGTAGAATTGTCGCACTTTCTTCCTCACGCAACAAAAGGACTATAAATGAGAAAATCTGTTCAAAATGGCCGTAGCCACTACCTTAGTAGCGCAGACAAAGGATGAGGTGACGAGCTTAGCGATCTCGTTCATTAAGTTCTTCGTCTCCTGTATCACGGAATCTACCTAAACATAAAGCATCACTAAACATGGTAAAACAAAGATTAAGGAATAAATTCAAATTGAATTTATACTCAAATCCAAATCTAGTTTTAATCTAATTAAATTCATCACGGAAGGGATTTGAAGAGGAAGATGTACTTGTCAAAATGTCAATCGCAAGTCCACTCTAAACATTCTCTTTGAGAATTCTCGAATGCAAAAAATGATCTATGAATCTTAACTCTTACAGTACCTCGTGCCAAAGTCTCTTATGTAGAGTACAACTAATGCAATAAAGAATTCCTTTCACAACCTTTCCAAATGTCGCCGATTTCCCAACGGTCGGGCTTTTAACGAGGACCTGAAGTTGTTGACAGTGAACCGGAATCCTTTCGAGTATCGTTGACAGTTCGCTTTTTTCTGCCGATGCAGGCACCTGCATATCCACATATCTAGTTCCATACAATTCCCTTATTCGACTTTTTGCTTAACTAGGAACGAAATACGTCTGGAAGCGACATTTTATTTGTTTGTTTTCATAATAAACAACAACAATTCGGTAAGAGCTAAAGTATATAGACGAAACTTGCCTCATAACTAAATTCCCGTACTGTTTTGTACATCTTGTTTGCCTGTTCTGCAAAGAATTCTGCTTGGGTGAATAGATCATGAGTTGTTTTAAGAGGACCATCTCCCCTAGTGAATAGATACATATTATACGCCATTGATGACATCGCCTGCAAAAATTATTTCTAAACTAAATTCATTGATCCGATTGAAAAACTTATAACAAAGGAAATAAAACGGACAGGATTTTCGTTTAAACACAACTGCCTGTTGTGAAGCCGCTACTACCCAATTGGATACAGCCTCGCATCTTAAGTCTCTCAGTGGTCCGTTCCAGGAAGACTTCTCGAAACATAGATTCAACCAAAAATACTTTTCAAAACCAGCCACTATCACTTTGGTTGTCACCAAATTTTTATTTGACCACGAAGAGCCACATGACGAGGACGAACGACTATGGAAAATCGACTAATCGACTCTGAAGAAGACGAAGACGTTGAAAAATTAGCCTAATAAAATTTCATAACAACCTGGTGTAAGCTGTAAATTTTTAAAAGATATGGAAAAAATATGGCATATGAGGCGCAGTGGTTAGATGTGCTTTGCAGCACACATGGGATCGATCCCTGCTTTCCAAGCTTGCCAAACCTTCCATCCATCTGGGGTCGCCAAATTGCTGTCAAACTTGTCTGTGAGGAGAGCAGCACTGACTGGATACATCGGTAGGCCACCATGAGCCATTGTAAAGACAAAATATGCATTCAATCGTCTTCAACTATAATATGCTTGACGAAGTCGGATGCATGGCACATCACTCAGGGATTGATCAACACGGAGAGCTTTATTATTGATCAACAGGCAAAAATGTTCTTGACATCAGTCCAAGCCAATGGGACATTTTCATACGAAAGTTCTCTTAATGCGATATATATATATATATATATATATATACGTTATTTTCTGGGACGAGTCAACACCATCGAAACAAGCCAGCCAGATTTGTGTCCTCTTTATAGAGTCGTAGCGATGAATAAAATTTTTCTGGATTCGTCGAAAGGGTAAGTAGATAAGCTCATCCTCTGCAAGTCAACGGACGGCAAAATTTTGTATTACTAATTTTTAAAAACAATCTAGTAAGACCAATCTATTTAGATCATCGGCACTGAAGACGAAGACGTTAATAAGTTAGCCGGATAAATGTTTGGCAGTAATCTCGTGTTATACGAACTCTTAACTAACCTTCGCCCGTTTTACAATATCGTTTTCAGCGTATTCGTCCCACTTCTCAGCTTCGGCGTCGACTTCAGAAGTTAGCAGTTTCATTTCTAGTCCAACTTTAGCCATTTTCTGCTGGTCCTTAACAAGTATTTCCCTAATTTTAGCGTATCTAACCTATAAAGTATTACAGACATTATCGATGAATACAACGATGTTATATAACCACAATGATGCTGAGATATTTCCAAAACTCCGGACAGCAAATGATTGCAGTGGGGAACGAACGCGCTATTGTCCTTTCCAGGGGATAACGCGTTCACCACCACACCATGCGGGTCCTTCGCTTGGTTTGTCTGTCAGCTAGTTTTATATGTCTAGAACCCGACGGTCCGGAGTTTTGCAAATATCTTAGCGGGATTGTGGTTGTATCACATATAATGCGCTGCTGTGAAGAATAGTAATAGGCAGTAAATCAAAAAGTTAACACAACGATGTTAATATCAAGTCTAAACATACTGAAAACTTTGCTACTATGAAGAAGGTAAAGTTCAGTGATGTTGGATGTTTCGGGAAAACGTGTGATGGATTTCGATCAAGGTCGCAACACATCAGAAGTCAGAAATATTTCTAACAACAGACCTTTTCTTTTACAAAACATGAAGCAACAGCACTATGAAAGTCCCACCACTTCACGACACACTTACCTCAATGTCCAGTGTGATCGGTTTAGATGGCTTTGAAGTGGTTCCGTGTTTCTGAAAATAAAAATAAGTAAGCTGGCAGCTACCCAAATTTAATTTTATTTAACTGACTCTTTTGGTCCCAACGATGGTACCAAACAATCCTACTAGCTAGAATGAACTATACTGCAGATCCAAATCTGTAGCCTCAGGCGATTTAAAAATACTCGAAAATACTGAATCTGTAATGCAACGGGTACTCTGTAGCGAAATAAATTTAGCTTCCGAAGCTTACAAACCATTTTTATTATAAAAAATGACTAGCTTATTTAACGAAACGACAACGACAATGCAGATGTTGGGTACGATCAATTAACAAAACACTTTGTATCAGTCCATAAATAAGATTTTATATTCAATATTATTTGACTACAGCGTTTACAAGCTACGATTTGTTGTCTCAGAAAGCCCGTTTGGAGTCCTCCCACCAACTATCACCGAACTGCTTTTCCTCGCCTAATTAATACAATCGCAACGAGTTCAGATCAACTCACACGCAGGGGTTGGACATACTGGTCAACACGAATTGATATCCACTCACTTTTTTTACTGATGGTTTATTCAAGCATGAGGAACCTTTTTGTTCATTCCTATAATCAACTGATAGCTCATCAAACGCAGATGTTCTACAATGGTGTTGAACAATAAATGCTGCATTCTTTACCTAATAATTTACAAGGAACTGTTTCATGTGTGTTTGTTTGCCCTTGACTACATAACGTCGTGGATAAAGGCAGAACCACCACAGAGACGGTACTAGGTTCTTGGCTACTACAAAACATTTGAAGCTCGATAAAGGGACGCCTTTCGTTATGGTAAGATGGTAGATCACTTGGGGTACTTATATATATTTTATCCATGAGGATTGCATGAGTTTAGGTATAAAATACTTGATCTCATGTAATGCATGCGGAGAGGAATATATCGGGGAAACGGGTAGACCACTTTGTGTCCGCATAAAAGAACATCTAGATGGAAAAGCTAAAATCCGTTTAAACACCCCTCTAGGTACACATAGGGCACAAATGCACAACGGCGATGATTTTGAAGTGAATGTGCGGATCCTAGCGCAGGAATCAAAAACATCAACGCGCAAAATTCTTGAGGCGTTTTGGATAAATTTCAAAAATCCAAAGATGAACCGGAAGGACGAATGCCTCACTATCACGCGTGACCTGGCGCCCTATTTCAAAATGATATTTTGACCCCGGGGCGTGTCTTGCTCGCGTGAACTACGTGTCGGCCAGTCCCGAACGTAACATCACGGTGAGTGGCCTTCCTGTTCAATATGGCGTCTATTTGAAAGTTTGATCTTCATTAATACTTTAACCTTCTTTTCCACCAAATAATAAAAGTATTCTAACATAAAGTACGTCCAGGCTCTGAGGAAGGCGAAGTCGCCGAAACGTCAGCCATCGATCAATAACGTCAAAAACAACGACAACGACAACGAAGATCTGTACCAATCTCGCGTCAGCTTAAGAAGATCAGTTTATAAGATCACATAAATAAATATATTTTATCCGCTTTTTATTTTATGTGACCCGTCTTTACGCCTACTGTACGGATCCCAGCACTTCTCACACTCGATTCACTTCCTCGCATCCATTGTCCACGAAGATCTTCCAACTTTATGTATGGCTTCGGCTGCTGCTTGGGATTTCCTTTTCATCTTGAATGTCGTAGAAAGCTGGTCGAGCAATTCTCCCTGGAGTAATTTTAACTAATTATTGACTGCCTACTCTTTTTAATGGCAGGGTATGTTGCGAAATATAACTTCAATGATGCTGAGATATTTGCAAAAATCCGGACCGCAGGTCTTTGCGGTGGGGAAAGACGCGGATACCTGCGGTTCGGAGTTTTGCAAATATCTCAGTAGCACTGCAGTTGTATTTCTCCCTGGAGTCCTGCGATAGTCAGGCTGGAGCGTTCGCAATTGGATTGCCGAGAGCGATTTTTTCCTAAGCAAGTCCGGCACCGGTTTCCAGACCGCAGGAGGATGAGAGACTTGATTCGCCAGGAGCGGAATCGAACTAAGCACCATGCTGGCGATGACGGATATCACTGCCACTGTGCTATCCGCCACCTTATATATAGTCTCCTGTTTTTCTACACGAACAAATACGAGGTTGTGTTACAGTGTTTATTAATACACAATAGGTAACGCTTGAACGGATTTGTCTTTTTCAGAGTCCTTTGTCATTGTTAGAATAAAGGGACAAGTGTTTAAAAGAAGCTGTTTACTATGCGAATGAAAATTTATAGGTTTAATTCTACTTGCTGAAATTATGAAAGTGTGTGGGTGAGTAAATTGCTTATCAATTTGACCCTTCCAGGTTCCGAAAAAGGCGAAACTGCCGAAACATCACGTATTGCGTATTAATAACTGCTATGGTACCAACCTCTCGTTTGCTCATCGAGAAAAACAGTAAATTCTTGATCAATTCTAAGCTTTAAAAAAAATCGGTATTGGGACCTGTCTATAGTTTACTAACTCTCTGCTTCTACTAGTTCGTATTAGCTATCCTGACATGGGGAAAATACGACATCGTTTGGTCACTTCTATTAATAAACAGCTTCTAAATTAAACAGAAAGTTCCTGGTCAAAAATTTCCCGTGAATAGCGATCTTCACTAGTTAGCCGAAATGTTTATGGCATTAAGTGCGAAGATCATAACAATTTGTTCTAGACTATTCTTCGATGGTCACAGAATACGGGCTTTCGTTTCCCTGACAGAGAAAACGTTGAAGAACCCTTCACTATGTCCTAAGACTGGGAATTACTTAGTTTCCCTTACAGTCGTTAGTCCAATTTAATAAGTTATCCACTCCGGTTCAACCAAACCCTCCATCTCTCTGGAGTCTGAAGACTGGTCCCATACTTGTACGAAATGAACTCTTCAATCCACAAACGCAAGTGACGACTACTCTCGTTTATGCAGATTATATTCTACGACTGTGTTTGACCAAAAGCCTACAATCAAGTGGTAGGGAGGTATATTAGAGGCAGTTAGGAGTAGACTCTAACAGATAAGCTCCCTCGTCTCCTTTGGTACAGACTGGCAAGTTATTCGTTAGTATACTCTACTCCACGTTCAGAGCTCGGCAGGCTATACCCCGGTATGAAAAGCTAGACACAGTATTGGATGCTTGGACGGCCCATCGTCACCGGTTGTGCGAGTCCCAGCATATTCTCCATCTTTCGGAGTTTTGCTAGTTTAGCTATTGTGTTTCCCTGGGGTCCCAAGGTCAACCTGGCGAAAGTTTGCCCAGGTCGTCACCACCACAAGCAGTCGCAGCTCTTGTGGATAAGAGGGAGATTCGCCACTATGCGAGTAGTTCAATACTAGGACGGTGGTCGATCCCAGTATTGGTTTACTCCTAGCTGGACTTCCTGATGGAAAAGGCGGACTCCTTCTTAGCTCGGAAGGTGGTGAGGGTGAATCAACCCGCTGCACATCGCAGCCCAACACAGGAACATCTCCTGGCCACGATGAGGCGGTAAACCGTTAGGAGGGTTGGGAACGTCCCACTCAGTAATTTGGCATCTGAATGTGTTAAGGTATCATCTGTGGAGCACACGATATATAGTAGAAGTCTATCATGCAAATACCAGTTAAAACTGATCTAATTTGTTCTTCACCACACAGTCACTTCACGATCAAACCATGCAAAATCGGAATAGATTTATCGCATCAGTCACAAACACAACAACCCATGCAAGAGAAAACGATGACGTCAGTTTCAGGACAACAATTTTAATTTGCATCTATAAATAATTATGTGTTAATGCATAAAGGCACACGTAACTTTTAGCACAGTTGAAGACTTAGAAACATTATAAATTCCGTTAAAACTGTTTCTCTTTCAAGACTTAAAAAAGACTTCAGAGAGTGACAAAAAATCTACCGTAACATTACTTCACACAGCACCCGCATAATGAAGTGGTGAAAAAGACCACTGAATAGGGAGATATGAAAAAGAATTTCTTCAACGAGAATCAATATAACGTTTTCGCTGTAGAACTGGATGTTCTGAAACTGTACTACAACGGGTCGATGCAACACATTGGCGACTACGTAGATTGACAAGGAAGGATTTCGCCTACACCTCCCGTATAACTACTGATTTTTTCACATCAATCTAATCATGAGTAGAAACGCTCCGCAAATCATCAAGGATTAAACTTATACGATACTCGAACGCTTTGCGATCCTCGCTAGCTGCGGAGGCCGTTGAACTGAGCTCATCACCACCTTGTGATAAAACTGCATTGCGATTTTGATGATTCTCGCGATTTTCTATAGAGGCACTAGACATGGAGTCATCCGAGTCACACAAGAGACGTGTTACTGTTTGCGACTCTAATGAGTGCTTAAAAAATCGAAAAGGGACGTAACGTGAGCCATTAAACCGCGGTAACGAAGATGATGAATCGCCACTGCTCACCCCTGGTCGAGGAAGCGACATGTAGGCTTGCTTCTCGGCTGCAACACGTCCACAAGCAGCGGAATCTGACTCCTTAGCAAGGCGTGAGAGATCGTTAACCTACAAATAACCCATTGTTATGTGGACTAATTTCAATCAGCATCTATGGTGATGAAACTTTCTCTCCATGGAAACTGAAAGTAGTTTTATTCTCTTTTATTCTCTTTTTTTGAAATTGCGAAAAGTCTGATGCATGTAAAGAAAAGATAATTATTTAATACAACGGATAAAAGTACGATACAAACAATCAGGTAAATCTCTAAACAAAAGCGGACGTAAAGGTAAAAAACTACGCTTTAGAAATGATACTTTCAAATAAATGCACGATTTTTGAAAACTGTAATGATTATGGTGTATAAGAAACAATGTATCTAAATAAGTAGAGCAAACCGATTGGCTCCAAGTGTCGCAGAATACTTCGAGATTTTCACGCGCAATTCGACTGGATGGATGCTGACAAAGAGTGCGACCGGAGAGCAACGTCTTGAACAGAATTTTTTATCCTTAACCCTTTTATTTACTGCCTTTTCTTTTTTAATGGCAGGGTATGTTGCGAAATATAACTCGTGTATAATGCTGAGATATTTGCAAAACTCCGGACCGCAGGTGTATGCGGTGGGGAACGAACGCACGCTATTGTCCTTATCGAGGAGTAGCGCACTTCACCACCACACCATCCGGGTCCTTGTTTGTATCGTACTTTTATCCGTTGTATTAAGGACCCAGATGGTGTAGTGGTGAAGTGCGCTACTCCCCGGTGAGGACAATAGCGCGCGTTCGTTCCCCACCGCATACACCTGCGGTCCGGAGTTTTGCAAATATCTCAGCATTATATACAAGAATTTTTTAGGTTATATTCATAAATGGAAGAAAATAGTGAACTCCGATTAGAAAGAGACAACCAACCAAAGGTGCTAATGAGCGCATATTACGTTCACAATGCCCGGTATTAACATGGAGCGCGTCCGTTAAGGAAATGTGGTGTAACAGACGACATACCTGTCGAATAAGTCAATTAGGTAAAATTCAACGATCGTGTAATCTCAAAATTCTGCAAAATAATTGGATCATCGGAGGGTCTTCATCTTTGCGAGAGCACCAAGCGGTATGTCATGGGGTTACGCAGCACATTATCATATGGCGACAACAAGGTTAACACTGACCACGACGACTTATGCATACCATATATACGTAATATTCACGCATGCGTGTCGAAGGAAGAGGATCCTTGCACAAATATGAATTATATCTTGCACGTCTATTAGGTCAATAGTCTACAACTAAGTAGTGGCGAAATATAATTAGGCCGCTTCGAAGTTACCGTCGGCAAAACATTAGTGATATAAAGGATAGAATTCATAGATTCATTCATTCATAGAGCTAACATGAAGATGTAAGGCGCGTGTGGCGCAGTGGTTGGAGGCGCCACTGCGACACACACGTTGAATCGATCCCAGCGCCCATGGTCCACCAAGATTTCCATCCCTACGGGGTCGGCAAATTAGTACCAGACGTGTCTGGGAGGATAGCAGCACCGGCTCGATACATCGGTAGGCCGTCGCAAGTCGTTGTAAAGGCCAAATATGCATTCATTCACCTCCAACGATGCTTAATGAAGTTGAATACACGGAGCATTCCTCAGGGATTGATCAATGCCGAAGTGTTTAGTCTTTTTTTTATTCAATGAAAATATCGGGATGTGTGGAGCACTGTGATGATCTGAACATACAATTTTGGTGTCAGAAGCTTCTTTTCAAGAATTCAGGATGTTAACCAAGAAAATGAAACATGACGTCACCAGAAATGGTCAAGGCACATTGAAACTGCCTAACAGCGTTTAGAACACTGAACAATAGCGTTCTCTTGAGGTTAAAAAGATATGAGTGAATTGTTTCCATAATTATCGCCATAGCAGCAAGCTATGGAGAACATGAAGTCGGAGCCTATGCATTCCATATGAAAGTGAAGAAGTTCTACAAGAAAATAACATTCTATAAAAGGCTTAACGACTTAAACGCCAGTGTTGGCCCGACGAAAACTCCTGAACAACATCAAATAGAAGACCACGGAAATGAACCCAACAATTATGTTGAAAAGAAATCAGAGCAGATGAAACGATCAAGAACACCCATGATGACCTCCCGAAATTTGGCTTGAGATTAATTCTGATTAATCTTAATCTGGGCCCTTATTTAACCTTTGAAAGGTTTCTGAGAAGATATCATTATCCAGAATATCGGCGGCATAAAACAGAGATAAACAACGTGAAGGTCATCATTCGAGCTGCCTGTATTCTAAATTTTGAGAGAAATTAATGTACTGATCGCAAATCCGGACACAAGAGCAAGCCAACAGAGCGACCAAAGTTCTTCGAACCCTATCGAAAGGTTGACGCTTGGACTAGGTAGTATTGCGCAAGTTAAAAAGAAAATCTGAAGCTCCGAACTTATCCAAGAAAACATATCAAAAGCGTTGCCGTATATATGAAGATGCCACGAATAAGGCAAGACGGGTGGGTACGCCACAGCAACAACTGATGAACAAGAGCTGTTAGTGAATGGCTTCAAGAAACTTGACGATGGCCGTTTCGCTCGATTGATCCAACCCACTGGGAAATGGTGCAATGCGATATACTCTCTCTGGTTGTACGGGCCCCAGCATAATCTCCATTTCTCGGAGTTTTGCTGGTCTATCCATTGCTTTCCTGGGGTCCCGAGGACAGCCTGGCCAGAGTCTGCCCCAGGCCGTCAATTTGCCACCATACGACTAGTTTGATACTAAGACGGCGGTGGATCCTGGTATTGGTTTACTCTTAGCTAGGTTTCCTAATGGAAACGCCGCACTACTGAGCTGCCGGAGGGACGAATCTTCCTCTCTACATCGCAGCCAAACACCCAGGAACACTTTTCAGTCATGATGAGGCGGTAAAATATTGGGAGGTGGAATGCGATAATATACAGATTGTTAGCATCAGAACGTATCACTCGGCGATCAACGATAAACGAGAGCGCAAGTGATCTAACACAGAATTGAGCAACTTTTCACGAAATACAGAACATTTTCTTGGTTTGTGCATCATCGATGTCATGTGAAGAATTACTACACGACTACCAACTAACCTCTTGCATATGTTCAGCGTGCTCTCTGAATTTATCCATATATCTCTCAACCCCATCGATGTCACCCGCAACAGCACACGCTTTTATAGATGACAATAGCACTTGGTCCTCATTTGCCCGTAAAGTTTCGGAAACCTATATTTCAAGCATAAATTGTAAATGGCAACATGTATTCTATATCGAATGAATTGAAATAAGCCAAATTATGGGAAAATAAAAGAATAGCAAAATATTTGATGTTCTCACATGGTCCATTGCAACAATTTGCAGTTGCTTGCCAAGATCTTTCAAGCGTCTATTTAACCGCTCAACCGTAACATCAATGCTGTCGGAACGTAAATGATCAGAAGAATCTTCCTAAAGTTGTGCACAAAAAAAATCAATACAACAATGCCTTAAAAATGACAAACCTCTGGTAGAATAAGATTTGTCATTTCAAATCGACATTCTTCCAAGAAATCCAAAATTTGTTCCCGATGATGGTGAGGAGTATACGCGGAATCAGTAAAATCCTAAAATAAAGCATATTCAGTAATTACATTAGAATAGGGCTGGTTGAAACGGGAGTATCCCAAAAGTTTCTGGAAGCGCTGAGAGTTTCTCCAGCTTTGGTAAAATGCTGAAGTATTTTAAAGAAGTGAAAAAAAATAAAGCAATATACAAAAAAAGAATTAACCTGCGTCATTTCGCAAAGCGCATCCAAAGCCCCAATGAGTCGTTCTCTAACTCCTACTCCCACTCTAAATGTCATTCGGACCATCTCAAGCATTTCCTAAAAAATAGAGCTCCGCAACCATTTTGAAAAAATTTGGAGATGTAGGGATATCGATTTCCCTTAAAATAATGACTCCACTGATCTTTACTATTTAAGGACGAAAGAAAGCCTTTTCACGTAGATTCAGCCAAAGTTTTAAAACAAATGACTACAAAATGAATAATAATGGGTGGTTTCCATTCCCAAGAAATGAACCAATTCCTTTGAGAGAACAGCTGTCCGTTACCACGAGTGGCCTCAAGCCAAGGAGTGATGATCTGCTTCTCGGTAACTCAACACCAAGAACTCAAAGGTTTGCCGGACCACCGTGGCAACCTGTATTCTGCGTAGGGAACCGCGATGTTCAGCACAGGCTCCTTTACACACACCTTAATTGAAGTTGTGGAGAGATTACCATTTAGAAAGAAATCTATCGTAGATGCATTATTTTAACACGACAAATCTTCCACCCGTTCATCAGCGTTGATAATTACCTAGTGATGACTAGGTTGCATGGTAGTACGGTTGCCTCAGAAATTTATTTTTAAAAAAGCCTATTCCGACAAGGACCAGTTAAATAGAAATTGTGCTAGCTGCCACACAATTCGTGAAGATAGGCCATACAAGCATCTAGTTAAGCACTATGGCAGAGGATTTTGGACAAAACTGACGAAAATAATACCGTTAGTTGCTTTATAGCAGCATTTGCCGTAAGTTGGATCCCGATGTCCAGAGGCTCTTCACTAGTTGTCTGAATAAATCGAGACGGTTCAACAGGAACTACGCCGTCACTAACACAAATTGCGATCAGTTGAAGAGCACAACGGATCTAGAATGTACAGGAATAAATTAGAAACTCAGGATTTGAATGAAAAATGCTGATCTCAGCATGACGAAAGAAATAAGAAGAACTAATTGTTAAGGTTACAACAGTCGGACTACAATTTACTTGATCAAACACTCCATCTCTGCACTGAAGAGCACTTTTCGAATCCGGATGTCGCAAAAGTGTCTTCGACGATGTCAGTAATAGCATTGTATGCCTTTCCAAAGAGGTTCTCGCAACACCCATCTGAGCTTTTCTTTTCTCGCTTTTCAGATCGTGTTGTCTAAAATACTAGACATAATAAAAGACTTTTATTTATTCAAGGAGTTTTTCAGCACAAACAATAATTTCGATTACAGGGATGTAACGCAGATCTAGGTTAGCCACGAACCTGTCGCCGGACCGATGAGCTAAATCAACCATTTCACCACCAAACTCTGCGAAAATTTTAACAAACTCTGTAAAGGATCGACAAACTTCTAGTCGAGAAAGAGAATAAGCCACCTGAAGAAATGAATTACCGCATGGCTTCCAATAAATCAATAAGAAAAGGCATAAGTATTTTCAGTAACGCTTTTCTTGATGTAACGATTTGCTCTAAACATGCTTGAGGGATTTTCCCGCCTAAATTTCACCGTTTTTGTGCTTGCTGCAAACCAAAAATTTTAAAATTGCTGTAAAATCTACATCCGAAGCATTCCATTTAAAACCCAAACTTCACGGGTTTTCTACTTTTCTACTTCTTCCCCTCTTCTTCTCTCTTTCCCTTCCTCTTCTTGCGATACCACCAATAATTAAGAGTTGCGCTAACTTCTGAATTTGGCTCAACATTACAAAACCTACATATTGAATCACAATATCAGTATGTCCCTACCTTGTCTTCAGCTCGTAAAATATGCTTCACTAGAACTCTATCAGCCAAAAGTAATACTCTCGTGACGCTGCTAAGTAATTGCCGACTTGCACGAACAAGCACACTTTTATCAAGAATGGGAGCGTCCGGCACCTCTGTAGAGCAGAAAGAGAGATTGGCTATTGATGTTCCTGGAATAATACAAACTGATTTACCGTCATGTATTCACAATGCCAGCACTGTGAAATAAAAGGTTTTGAATAACTAAAGAACTTAAATGAGGTGGGTGTAGCACAGTGGTCAGAGGTGACCCTATAATACATACGCCCCCAATGGCCCGACTCCACGCCTAGAAATACCCAAGCATTTCATCCCTCCAGGATCGGGAAATCGGCACCAGACTAGTCTGAAAGAATAGCAGCACTGACTTCATAGATCGGTGGGCTGCGGAATGTCATTGCATAGGCCAACATATGTATTAAGTAACCTTTAAGGCACTCGATGAATTCGAATGCATGGGTCAAATCCTCGGGAACTAACCAACATCGATAGCCTCATCCCTTAACCTTCACTGTAAGCGCCAGATATGCATTTCATCGCCTCTGCGATGCTTGATGAAGTTGAATACATGGCGCATCCCTCAAGGACTGACCAAAATGGAGAGCTTTATCCATTTATCCTTTATGAAAATCAAAACGGTAATTTAGTTTCTTAACCACGAAAATCAATGGTCGGCAGTTACACCATCTTCGCTTTGCTGATGACATTATCCTTATAACACCAAACATAAGCCAAGCGAAACGTATGCTTGCCAATTTTTGATAAAGCCTGTGAAAAGATTGGTATTCAACTAAACCTCACATATACCATGCTCATGAGGAAAGGATTGGTTATGTACGTCCCATTTCGTAATGTTTATCTAAGTCGGGAAATCAACATGATGAACAACTTAGCCCCAGAGTTGAGCAGAAGGAAACGAGCGGCTTGGGAAGCTCTCAGGAGCGTCGAGGATGTGGTGAAGAGAAGAAGTAACAAACGACTCCGTGTTCATCTTTTCGACTCAACAGTACTTCCTGCCTTAACGTATGGGTCAGAAACCTAGTCGCTGCGTAAACAGGATGAAAGGTCACTCAGCGTTATTGAACGCGCAGTATCCTGTGTCACGCAGTTAAGAGAAGGGAACCGAAGCTCCGACCTGCGTCAACGATCAAAAATCGAAGATGCCGTTGTGTACGCCAAACAGTCGAGGACAGGGTGGGGTGGACACGTAATGCGTATGAACGACAACTGATAAACAAAAGCCGTTAGTGACTGAATTCCTCGTGATGTCAAACGTACTGCAAGAAGACTATGGACCCGATGGTCAGAGTTCTTCACGAAAAACCTAGAAGAAAGATATCATGCTCGACGAGTCCCTAGAGCGAGTAGAACCCACTGGGCTACTCTTGTATCCCACAGGGAAAAATGGAAGATTTACTCGCGCCTGTTCGAGTTACTCCGATCAACGGAACTGCAGGTGATACAGGTGACACAGGTGAACCACGAAAACTCACAACGCTTATCCTGTGATGGCTGTAGAAAGCAACATTAGCATTACTACTAGCCAGGCGGAACAAATGCTTGACAACTTTGACAACGCCTGTGTACAGATTGGTCTTCGACTAAATCTCACAAAATGACGTTCATAAGGAACAGGTTGGTTTCGTACGCCCCATTCACGCTCAACGGAATGAATATCTCCGAATGCTCCATTTATGTCTATCTAGGTCGGGAAATCAACATGTTGAACGACTTAGCTCCAGAGTTCAGCAGAAGGAAACAAGCGGCTTAAGGAGCTTTAAACAACATCGAGGAGGTAGTGAAGAAAACAGAACACCCGACTCCGTGTCCTTTGCGAATCCAGGATTCTTTCTGCTTTAATATATGCGTCAGCGACCTGGCCGCTACGTAAGCAAGATGATGGATCACTCAACATTATTGCACGCGCAGTCGAAAGGACGATACTAGAAGTATACAGCCCGTGTCACGCAAATGAGTGAAGCGATCCGAAGCTCCTACCAGTGTCAACGATCAGAAATCAAAAGCACGATTCTATACACCTAACTGTCGAAGGTAAGGTGGGCTGAACACGTAATGCGTATGGACGACAACCGATGGGAAAGCGCCGTTAGTGACTGGACTCCTAGGGATTTCAAACGTACTGTGGGAAGACCACCGATTTGACGGCCAGTTTTTCACGAAAACCTTAAAAGAAATGTATGATGATCAATGATCCCTACACCTAGCAGAACCCACTGTGCTTCTCTTGCATGCAACAGATAGTGATGACAGGTGTTATAGGTGACTCCAGAAAATGTGCAGATTTCGGATAGCATTACACCCACGGAATGGTTTGATAATGGTTACATATCATAATTTCTCCACGAATCGATGAAACAAACAATTTAAGCAGTCACTAATACGAAATTCGTCGCTTCCAACGACTGCGTTGTACATACCGGCCAACCGCGCTTCGTGACAAGCGTCATACATCTCCGGTTGAATATCTGGATTTTCATCGGCAATCGTTTCTCCAACGGCTACAAACCGCTCGATAGCAGCTTCCACAGCACTACCAACCTTTAAACCCAGAGTAATTAAATAGTGTACGGAAGAAAAATATGTATGAAGAAGGTGAAAAGCCAACTTTTACAATTAATGTGAAAATATACCTTTAGAGCGGAACGAATCGCCCTCTCAGACTTTGGCTTACCATTCGTTAGATAAGATTCCTTGAAATTCACGAGAGTGGTGATCTTAAGATGCAAATTTTAACAACCACTGTAATCTACAAGGAATCTTAACGGATATTTGGATTTCAGGTCAGTTCATTGTCATCTTTTACACAACAACTTGTTAACATCAAAGATAATGTTTTCAAGAGTTCACAGATCAGTGATAACCAATCTTCTAGTCATTTTAAAATTCTCCTCACAGAATATTTCACCCATACCATTGACACAGTGCCCAAACGGGATCACTTCCCAATTTTCTGCCGTTTAGGTGGCTCAACGTAAGTGTAAACAAATGCTTGAAAAAATGTTACTAAAATCGTGGAAAATCAGAAGCTAGGATTTCACAACATCGCCACCTACTATGAGAAGATAGCAAGAGAAAAGATATTACAGTGTTTTAATTACTATTTAGTGCCCTTTCCTTTCCCACGAAAGGTTCAAATCCGCGACCACCTTTCCGGGGCTCACGTGTTATTCATTGCGCCAACTGAAATCTTTGCTTTGCCTTTCTATTAAAATTGTATTAGGATATCTTTGATATCATCATCGCAACTGTGTAATAATAAAATTATTGAAAAAAAAACAAAGGAGAATACACGAGAATATGCACAAAATGAAAATCACCTGAGAAACTAGCGGCACCAATGTGTGTTCGATGGACTTGGTCTTGATCTCAAGAGTCCGTGCATCCAAGCCGAAACTCGTTCCACTACTACCTCCACCGTGGTCCCCCGGATGAGGATGCACCAATGACATACTTGAAGAACCTCTTCTTTTAAACAATAACTACGACAAGAACAATAACACGTGGGTCACATTCTTGAAGAGGAAGCTAGTGGATCAGTACTGGATTATTGCGTGACATACTGTTTCACTCTAATATCATAAATATATTGAAGAACGATGGTACTCAGAGACGTCAATAAAAAAGGAAATTGAATAGCACAATGGATTTAAGGTAAAGAATTAGAAGCTTCACAATTACAGAGCACAACAGACGGATCAAGAAACCAAGCAAATCTATTGAAGTGTTAACAGATGAGAACGCGTACTAAGTGTAAATTCTGCCGTGGTAATAAGTGTAAGCCAGAACCATGCAATGATTTGCTATACAAATGAAAAAACGATCAGCTGGTTAACGACTTAGACGTGGAAAACTGTGAAGACCTGATCAGGAAAAGTGGCCACACTTTTCCACAAACAGTACAGAGATTATATACATATATATATATACATATATATATATATATATATATATATATAACAGTTGGTGGGTCCACGACGGTTTCAATCATGACGTGACAATAAGTCTCGGCGATCATCAATCCCTGAGAGATGCGCCATGCATTCGACTTGGTTAAGCACCGATGGAGGTGATTGAATGCATATTTGGCCACTCGCGATGGCCTACCGATGTATCAAGCCCGTGCTGCTATTCTCCCAGACAAGACTGGTAACAACTTTCCGATCTTGGAGGGATGAAGACTTGGTGAACCTGGGGCGCAGAGGTCTATCCCATGTGTATTGCAGGGCGCTTCAGACCACTGCACCACATGCGCCTAATGAAAGAACAATAAGCAGAGACGAGTAATCGTCATTCTACAAAATAGACAATGAACGCACTGCATAACATTTAAGCCTCGATGAGTTATCGAAGCAAGCGATTCTAGAAAGCCTAAAAACTGCCGTATGTCCCTTAACTTGACGAGACATGCCAGCTTTTCAGTGGCATGAAAAACCGCCCAACAAATCAAATTTAAGAACAACATTTGCAAACTCTACTTCGATTTGTTAAAATACTCTCTTTTAGTTTAATGTTACGAAAAAGTGGACCTAACCTGGCAAAAGGTTAACCTTTATAGTGTAAACAAAAGTGGGACTTGAACTGTTACATCGTCCTCAAGTGGCTAGTCGACTAATCGAAGGTGTCCCTTTCTCATAAAAAAGCACTAGTGACAGAGTAAGAAACTTATCTCCAATCTAGAAATGTTAGCGAATGAGTGTGGTGGAAACTTGAAAAACGGTTTGGAATAGCTTTCTCGCGTTCTAAGAAAAACCATGCTCAACCAGTACTTCATACGTAAATGAAAAGACAAATCGACTGGACCTCAAACTCCAGCTAGAATCACGCACGAACTCGACTACTTCCATAACGGTTGTAAGACAAAGAATACAGTGGAATAATTGCTGGGCTTCATATGTCATGGAGAAACCTGTCACAGTGTAGAAGATCTTTTTCTTTGTGAAATACAAGGGCTATCGAACGTCTGCGGTGAAAATCTGACATTCTTGCACGGCTAGAAGACATATTGTAAACCAATGTAGATTGTAAACCAATGGCACAACTCAATAGACGAACCCAACCACCTCCTTGATAACGGCTGCAAAAACAACAAAGAGAATAGAAGAACAGCTGGATCACAGAAGTCATAATGAGCAACTATACAGGTATGAGAACGCAGTATACAGAAATGGTACATGAAATGCCTTCATGGTATTTCACTAACACAAGTTGGTCGGTCGGTGTTGTTGAATACTGAATACTGTATACGATACATTCCCACCAACAGTTTACAGCCTCATCGTGACTGGGAGGTGTTGCTAGTTTTCGCGCTGCGATGTACAGCGGGAGGGTTCGTCCCCACGGCAAGGTCTCCCACGCTGAGAAGGAGTCCGACGTTATCATCAGGTAGCGCAGCTAAGAATAAACCAGTACCAGGATCCACCACCGCCCTGGTATGAAACTAGTCGCATGGTGGCAAATCTCACTCTGATTCACAAAGGCGGCGACTGCTTATGTTGGTGACGACCTGGAGCACACTTCGATCGGGCCGACCTTGGGACTCCAGAGGACGACAATGACTAGACTAGCAAAGCTCCGAAAAAAAGAACGGAAATTATGATGAGTGCCCGACAACCAGTGAAGACGGCTCGTCCAAGTATCCAGGTTAGTATACGATGCACAGTGGAAATTCAGAGAACAGAAGGAATACCTGTACTGAGGATTACGGACCTTTTGAAATACTAAGAGCAAAATTAATAAGCACAAAAGAAAATAATTACGACAAGACAAAAAAAAACAGTGAAGAGACATATTTCGAACTATATTGCCGGCCTTATTCGTCATACGGACAAAATCTGAACGCCAGCACATTACTGTTTACCATTATGATGTTGAGAAAGGTCTTTTCCTGGAATCCCAAGAAGCTCGTTCCAGAATGCTCCCAGTTGGTCGTTACTGGAAGTCGACGGTGCTGATACCAGTGGGGTTTCTGGACACGATATGGTGATAAACGTGTTCCCCGTTCGAATCGAATTTTATATTTTCTGATACTATATAACTTCCCAAGGTTTTACCACCTCATCATGGCTGGGAGGTAATCCTGGGTGTCGGACTGCGATGTACAGCGGGGGGATTTGTCTCCCTGGTAGGGTCTCCCAAGCTGAGGAGTCCGGCGTTTCCATGAGGAAACCTAGCTAAGAGTAAACCAATACTGGGATCCGCCACCGTCCTGGCATCAAAATCGCACGGTGGCAAATTTCCCTCTGATCCACATGGGTCGCGACTGCCAGTAGTGGTGAAGACCTGGAGCAGACTTTGGCCGGGTTGACCTCGGGATTCCAGGGAACCACAATGGTTTAACCAGCAAATCTCCTAAAAATGGCGATTACGCTACGGCCGGCACAACCAGTGAAGACAAGCCGTTCAAGTATTAAGTATCGAGTAAGATGTTATATAAAGCGCGATGGAACCGTGCAACCGTGTCTTTCCGTCGTTCCATTGTCTTGCATTTCTCATCTAAGAAGGTCTTCAAATTTACGTCTGTTCAGTTGCTGCTTCAGATTTTGTTATTCATGATTACCTCTGAACGCTAGGTGCTGAAACACCTTGGAATTATCGGATAACTGTGCTAAGGCGTCAGTAGTTCTTCACCACAGGCGCCACCGGCCATTGTGGATAAGAAGAAGCTTTTATCACACAAGAAATTTCCCTATCCTGGTGGAAAAGAAAGCTTGATCAGCCATGAGTTACGCTAGCTAACTAGTGTAAGCTATTGCACGAAATCTCTAACCAGGCGCTTGCCACGCTCCTTTTCCCCGTTGTACAAAATAACTTTGATCCGACAATAAAATAGACTTCTTCTGAAAAAACTTCCTCTTGTTAGATAAGAATTCTTTTTTCATTTTTATGATGAAAAAAATCGTTAGCTTTCTTCATTTAGCGATGGAGTGCTATAAACAACGGCTAGAGAAGCTCTTATGAACTGATCTTGTTGAGCCGATAAGAGTTTGGTATCCTCGACACCTTATACCAACCTCGCATCGACTCAAAAGGAGCAGTTCATACTTACATATTAGGATACTTGGACGGTCCGTCTTCACGGGCTGTGCAGACCCCAGCACATATGCCATTCGTTCCTTTCGCAATCGTAGTCAATGGTAGTGGTCTTGTTCGAGCATGGCAGCGCTTGCGAGTCTCATACCGTGATCTGTAGAACAACTGTAGCTGCGGGTACAGCTGATTAGTTTTGTTTACAAACACGTCCGCCCAACGTGTAGGTGGTCGTCCAAGGGGACGTTTGCATTCCCTTGGAGTCCACTCTACTGCTCTTTTCGTCCATCTGCCGTCTGTTCTTCTCATTATGTAACCGGCCCATCTATGTTTCGCTGTCGATGTATATTCTCCTAGATCTCGAAGACATGACAGGTTTCGAAGGTCAGAGCTTTACATTCCAGCTAGATATTGAGAGTGCCGGTTATATTTCAGAAAACATCGCTCAAGCGCTCTGTGAGTAGTTCGAAACATTCTTGACGTAGTTGAAGTATCAACCTACGTCTCTGCAACCTAACACAGCGCTGGGAGGACCGTAGAATCGAAGAGATGAGCGCGGATTTTCGGCTCCTTCAGTTTGTCGGTGGCTTCTTTGAGAGGCACGAATAGAGGCCAAGCTGCTCTCCTTCTCTTATTTAGCTCCTCCTTCATGTTGTTTTCCATTTTCATTAATCGTCCAAGATAAACGTATGAGGCGGTATCTGCAATGAGAGAGCCATACAATTCAATTTTTCGTCTTCGCACCATAGGCTTTTCATGAACTGGGTCTTCTTCCGATTTATGCAAAGTCTGATCATTTTCCTCGCTATATTGAGAGCTCGTTGATCAACACCTCTGCCTCGCTACTACTTCTTGAGAAGATGACAATGTTGTCGGCAAAAAGGTTTGATAGGAAATCTCCATCAATACGTATGCCTTTCTCATCCATATCGAGCGACTTCATTATCCACTGCAGTGCGGCACTGAACAGCTTCGGCGATACTGTGTCGCCCTGTCGAACCCCTTTTCCTGTGGGTATGGTAAAAGGGCGACGTAAAAGCTGTATTTTCGTAGTGCAGTTCTGATAACAGTCGGACAGAGTCCTTATGTAGGACGGGTTTACTCCTTGGTCGACGAGGGCTGATAAGATTGCATTTGCTTTGACACTTTCAAACGCTTTCTCATAGTCGACAAAGGTTAGGACTAGAGGTAAGTAGAAAGGAGTAGCAGGACTAGTAGCAAGTAGAGACTAGAGACAAGTATATCGACTATCAACAAGGCTTTTTAAAAATGTTTATAAAGTTTTGTATGTCTGAAATCTTATGTATTTCAGGTAGTCGCGGAGGGCGACAACTTGTTCATATGAGACAACATTCACAAACAACCATGGCAATACAAACACACAAGACTAGGCAGTTAGGACTAGAGGCAAAGACCTTTGATT